TATATATATATATATACTATACTATATATATATATATATATATACTATATATATATATATGTATATATATATACATACTACTATATATATATATGTGTGTGTGTGTGTGTGTGCGTGTGTGTGTGTGCGTATATATATAAGTGTATATATATATAGATATATGTATATGTAAATGTATGTATATATATATGTGTATATATGTATATATATATATATATATGTATGTATGTACATGTATATATATATATATATATATATGTATGTACATGTATATATACATACATATATATATATGTGTGTGTTTGTGAGAGTGTATACCTCACGCTAATTTACATCTATGTATACCCATATACTGGTCCTACTCTCTCTTTCTCTCTCCTGACTCCCATCCTCTGCACTCTCCCAGGCCATCACACTCGCCATAGGTGACGGTGCAAACGACGTGAGCATGATCCAAAACGCACACATAGGCATAGGTATCAGTGGTCTCGAGGGACGACAGGCTGTGTTGGCGAGTGACTTCAGCATTGCGCAGTTCCGCTTCTTGGAACGGCTGTTGCTGGTGCACGGCAGATGGTCGTACCTGCGCATGTCGCGGTTTCTGAGTTACTTCTTCTACAAGAACTTTGCGTTCACGCTGTGCCAGGTGTGGGTCTGTCCCTGGAGGGCTGAGTGTGTGTCTGTGTCTGCATAAACGTTTGTGTATATGTAAGAGTTTGTGTGCGTTTCCATATATATGTGCATGTGTATCGTAACTGCGCATGTCACAAACACTCAGTTACTTATCCCACAAGCACTTTGTACTCACCTTGTGTCAGGTTTGTATCTGTCCCTTTGTATCTTGTGTATGTGTATCGTATTTGCGCATGTCACAAACACTCAGTTACTTCCCCCACAAGCACTTTGTTCTCACCTTGTGTCAGGTTTGTATCTGTCCCTTTGTATCTTGTGTATGTGTATCGTATTTGCGCATGTCACAAACACTCAGTTACTTCCCCCACAAGCACTTTGTACTCACCTTGTGTCAGGTTTGTATCTGTCCCTTTGTATCTGTCCCTGGATGTTTAGTTGGTTATCTGTTTGTGTCTATGTGATATGTTTTCGTTTGTGTGAGTGTCTTTGTGTGCTTCCGTTGGTATGCGTGGCTGCCTACTGGGAGCATTCGCTACCAGGGCGTATGGAGAGATAATTTGTATTTATGTATGTATGTATGTACGTATGTACATGTGCTCGGACATAGCTGTGTACATACGTTGTGTGTGCACCTAGTATAGCCCTGAGCCCGAAATACACTGTTAGACATCACCAGCCGCAACTAGAGCTAATCAGACGAACACGTGCACACACCAACACGCACACACATGTATACCTCATACAGACATCCGTACATGTACTCGGCATGTCTCCTGATATCCATATCCATATCACTACACTTGCTTTGCGTAGTTCTGGTACGCCATCTTCTCCGGGTGGAGTGGCCAGACCATCTTCGACGCGACGTTTGTGACCATGTACAATGTCATCTTCACATCGTTGCCGATCATCGCTGCAGGTGAGGGTGCTCGAGCGTGTCAGCGGTTATTAGAGTTGTTATATGCCACGTGTTTATCTGTACTCGTGCGGTTGGTTGGGACTGTCCTATTTATATATGTTTATCTGTTCCCATGCGGTTGGTTGGGACTGTTCTAAATATATATGCTTATCTGTTCCCATGCGGTTGGTTGGGACTGTTCTATTTATATATGTTTATCTGTTCCCATGCGGTTGGTCGGTACTGTTATATATATATATATATATATGCTTATCTGTTCCCATGCGATTGGTTGGGACTGTTCTAAATATATATGTTTATCTGTTCCCATGCGGTTAGTTGAGACTGTTCTGATTAAATAGGTTGACGCCAGGGCTGTGTGGCCAAAGCGCATGTTCGATCTGTTTATACAAAGACCAAATTACCAATGCATATTACATCTGTATATACAAAGACCACTATAACAATGCATTTTTGATCTGTTTATACTTCCTCACCCTTGGTTCCTGGTAAGGTGTGCGAGTGTCCGTGTGATGTGTGATGTGTGTGCGTGCACATGTCATATTTTAGTGATTTCTATAGAGTGTGCAAACAGGAAGTGCTACCAGTTACGGACAAATACGGATACGAAGACGTGTACACATGAACGGTTGGAACCTGCAGGCGCATTTTGTATTTATGTAGTGGTGCGGTTAAATCATGACCTGAACAGCCCACTTCATAAACAGTCACAAGATTGTGTGCGTTTACGGCGTTAACTTGAATATGGTTGTACCAACAATCCTTTGGCACAAAAAAAGATATTAAGCGGAAATGAAGCACAGCCTATATGTACACTACTTTGAACACTGGTACACACGGGCCAGCATACATCGAACCCCCTTAATGAGCAGAATCACTGTCCATCACAATATAGGGACATGCAAGCGACATTGAAATTCTAATATATACTAAATCTGGAAAGCGAACATGTCCGTTTTTTTATAACTTCAGGACTGTTTGAGCAGGATGTCACCGACCGGGTATCCCAACTGTACCCACATATGTACCAAGTGGGCCAGAAGGACTTGTTGTTTAACACCAAAATCTTCAGCTTCTCGTTGGTATTGGGTGTTTACCACTCATTTGTGTGTTTCTTCTTCGCCTGGGCGGCGACAGGTATGTGGACTCTTTAACTCTGCCTTTGTCTTCTAGTGCATGCGAGCAGATCTATGTACGTATTATATTTCTATATATATATATATATTGTGGGTGTCTGTGTGTGTGTGTGGAAAACCAATGCTGTGCCTGCACATTCAAACCCCTTGCAATGGCTTGTCTCGATTTTTCCTTCACGTTTTCTTTTTTGTGTCATTCTCTATTCAATGAGCACCCCTCGACCTATTTGTACGCCGTTTACCGGCTCCTTGAATCGGAGTTGTTCAGCACGCATTACCAACCACCCAACAACCTTTGTTACTTACCCCAGTGTAAATATAGATCAATATTCGCTACCCAATCCAGGCACCGACTAATGAGCACCTTCTCTCTTATCTCACACAATAAACCATGCAGGCGATAACATCCTGTCAGACGGACACACCTATGGCTACCAGTGGCTGGGTGTCATGATTTCCGGCGCAGTTGTGGTAAGCTTCTCCTCCTGTCCTTGACATAGAGATTAGAGTTTAGAGTTTAGGGTTCAAGGTTTATCCTATCAGGCGGACACGTCTATGACTGCCAATGACTGGGTGTCATGATTTCTGGCGCAGTTGTGGTATGCTTCTCCTCGTGTCCTTGACATAGAGATTAGGGTTTTAGGGTTTAGGGTTTAGGGTTCAAGGTTTATCCTATCAGACGGACACGTCTATGGCTGCCAATGACTGGGTGTCATGATTCCCAGTGCAGTTTCGGTTAGCTTCTCATCCCGTCTCGAACATGGGTTTGGGGCTTGCAGTCGCATGGCAGAACCCTGGATCCCAAGTACATGTAAGAATGGGCAAAGTTACATATGTGTATGTTCAGCGTCTTGGGAAGCGTGTGCATGTTCATGTCTGTGAAGATCGCAAATAGTTTAGTTCCATCCTTTCGGCGTGTGAGCCTGATAGCTCGTACCAGTTGATTCCTACCATGTATGGTTTTTGAGGTTTAGGGTTTAGTGTGTATACCATTTAAGTAACAAATTACTTAACCCATACAACACCTACCACACCCCACCTCCTACTGAGATATACCCGAAGGTATCTATCTGTCCACTGATAGGCCATTAAATGCAAACCCTCCTTTCAAGATAAAATACACCCAAATATGATCCACACGCGGCACTAACCATAACCCCTGACGCCCCTGATGCCTTATCTTCGCAGGTAGTGGTGAATCTGCAGATCGCCGTAGACCTGTATCGGTGGACCATCATCAACCACGTGTTTGTCTGGCTCAGTATCATCAGCTGGTATGGCATTCGCAGGAACGGCTTGTTATACCTCAAAGAGACGTTAGTAAGAATACGTATAGTGCTTCAGTCTGGTTATTTGGTTTTGGACCGGCGCTGTCCCCGATTCCTCGTTTGATGGATATGAATGTGATACCTTACGCCTTAAGACCTACTCGACAGTGTCTAAATGGTCACGATATCCTAAAGTGTCCCTGGTACTCGTTAATTGTCTACTACTATCATACCGCTACATTTTAGACCCACCCAGTTGTTCCGTTTACCATCCGACCTCCACGTCGATGCTGTTCTCCAAGTACAAATCAGAAATGCGTTTGTAGGAATGTTTATCACTTGCGTTGCACCGTCCACTGTTGATAAGGGAACATTCTTAATGGCTCGATGTCTAATTACTTTTATACTCGCACCTCTGGGTAACTGTTCCTGTCACGGGTTGCCTGCTCTATCCTAATCAGGGGGGTGTTTACTTTGTCCCATGGTTCTATACCCACCCTCATCCACGTGATATGGTTCACAATAACACGCCATGCACGCAGCTCTGTACTGCGTACCTATACTTATATATATATATATATATATATAGCATGTGTCCATACTTTCCTCTGAGTGATGCTCATCCCTTAACTTCTGCTATACATCATGTACGCCTACTTTGGTATATATATATATATATATATATATATAGGTTGTTCTTGTACTGTTCCTGCACGTGTTTCCAATACGCCACGCCCTTTTTCCCCGCGTGGGCTGGTGCACCATCGCTCATGCTCTCTGCCATGAGTCTGTACATAGCTCTCTCCCATGTGTGTGTACTTCTGCTGTGTGTCACGTGTTCACCCGTTGGTGTGTACCAAATGTTCATACGTTGCTTCGTTTACGCAGGTGGATATTCACCTGGTTCCAGTATTCCATGCCTGCCCTGGTTTACATGGTTGGGTTCTACGGCGTGAACTTCAACTCGCAGGGCGAATGGCTGTGGTGGTGGACTGTGCTGCTGTCAGTGGTCGTGTGCATCCTACCGGTTCATCTATACAAGGTATGTACATGTAAGCACATCTCCGTATATACACGCATGTGTTTATTACTTATACAAGGTATGTACATGTACGCCCATCTCCGTACACGCATGTATTTGATACCTATACAAGGTATGTACATGTACGTACATCTCTGTAAGTACACGCATGTATTTGGTACCTATACAAGGTATGTACATGTACGTACATCTCCGTATATACACTCATGTGTTTGAAGTTCTTCTCTTCAGAGTGTGTGTGTTACCTGGCCACTATACCTACCATTGACTGTCAGTGCGTGTTTGCCCGCGACAAAGAATGCGATTCTCTTATTGGACAAAAGACCGTCACTTATCTCACATGGCATGCTCGATGGTCCTCTCCACAGTACATCCGGGTGTACTTCTACCCGACGCCTGTGGATATTGTGCGTGAGATTACCTACCTGTCCAGAGCGGCACGAGAGGGCCAGGGTATCTTGGCTGACAACCGGGGTGGCAGTGTGCAAGACATTCATTTCCAAGGAAGCACGGTATGTGTGTGGGTGTATGTGAATTTGCATGTGTGTGTATATGTATCTGTGGGGGTGCATGAGTATGTGTAGGTAAATGTGTGTGGTTGTGTGTGCATATGTATGAATATGTGTATGTGCTTGTGTGTGGCTGTGTATGCATATGTGTGATTATGTGTATGTGCTGGTGTATGGTTATGTATACATATATATATGTATGTATATATATATGTCTGTGTGTGTATGTGCGTGTGCGTGTCTGTGTGTGTGTGTGTGTAATGTATATGTATATGTGTATGCGTATATATGTATAATTTTGTATGTGTATATATGCGTATATTTATATATATATATATGTAATTTTTTAATATATAT